CACAAAACTTCTGCTCTCTTTCAAATGTTCTCTGTGCTCTCTCACATATTTGTTTTCACGCTCAGATTTTCTGCCCACGCGCAAAACTTCTCTCTGCACGGATCAAATCTCCGCTTGCAAACCTCTCTGCTCTCTTGCGAATTCTTTTCTGCTCTCTCGCGGAACAAGGAGTGCCGTTGCCTGGCAACCATCCCAGCCAATAAAATGAAAGCGTTATACTGGGCGGTAGGACACTCCTCTAGGGTGTGTTTGTTTCTCTCTAGTGGGTGGGCCTGTGTGGCTACTATCAATTGTAGCTCATGCTCTTTCTGCTCTGCCCACTGGATGTAGGGAGAAACAACCTCAGCTTTCTGCTCCGTGTTACAATTACATGTTACAATTACATGTTACATGTTACAACAGCCTACTAGTAGTCACACAGGCACACCCACTAGAAGGAAACAAACACACCTTAGAGGAACCTCCCACTGCCCAGTATAACGCTTTTATTTTATTGGCTGGGATGGTTGCCAGGCGACGGTACTCCTTGTTCCGCGAGAGAGCAGAAAAGAATTTGCAAGAGAGCAGAGAGGTTTGCGAGCGCAGATTTGATCCGTGCAGAGAGAAGTTTTGTGCGCGAGCAGAAAATCTGAGCGTGAACACAAAGATTTGAGAGAGCACAGAGAACATTTGAGAGAGAGCAGAAGTTTTGAGATCAAAGAGGTGAATTCCTGTTTTCAAACTGAACATGTGTGCTCTCGACTTATGTCAATGAAATTCCCCCATAGCTGCAGAAGTAAAATGAGCTGAAATCACAGGCGCTGCTGTTTAAGCGAAGCTGAGAGCGAAAGTAGAGCCATGCTGTTTAAAAAACTTTATTTTTCCAGAATCCCAATTGAAACATGCTGCACGTCGGGGGTGCACGTCTTTACGCACATTGTTTAATTATGATTTAAACGGGCTGTGATGGGATTTTAAAGCATTACTGTTTAAATCTCTTGAAATGCCTTGTTTTTCTCTTTGGTTTTAATTTTAACAGTTGCATATTTTTTATTTACTGTTTAAATAGATTTTATCGTTTTTACGTTTGCTTTCACGTGTTTTGAATTTTTGCATTTCACTTTTATCATTCTACATAACTTTGGCCAACGGTGTTGTTTTCAAAGTGCTTTATAAATAAAGTTTTATTGTATCAACACATTCGTATCCAAAGTTTAAAATCCAGAGTATGGAACGACTCAAACCTGATGAAAAGATTAAACTTTTGTTTTTGATTCCATCCTGTTGAAAGAACCTTTAAAATAAGTGTTCAAATGAAGGCGACCGTATAAAATACAAATAAATAAAATCAGATTAAAGCTGTCCCGTCTATTTTTAATCTACGATTGATAATGTAATCACATTTTTTACTTAAAAATGATCTTATCATATCATGGATTAGTAAAATTTCTACAATTTCAAAGGAACATATCCCATATTTTATTGAATATTAACTAAATTTAAACAAACAGTTCATTCAGTGAGTTGGTAAAAAGTGCACGTGACTCTTGATTGCTGTTTTTGTGATCATTAAAAGCCAAATTTGAAATCAAAACTTCAAATTTGATTAATCGCACGACCCTAATGTCATCTTTTCATCATTTGTTTAGAATCCATCAATACATAAACCAAAATCCCCAAACGACAGCGAGTGTTGAGTGAATTCAATCCCAGTTTACGTGTCTTCTCCGTTTAATGGTTAATACATCACAGGCATTGGTTATGCTTGTCATCTTGTATAAAATCCATTTAGAGCCGCCTTCATGCTTTTAAATATAGAATACAAATGAAAGCAGTACATAAATTAACCTGACGTTTCCACAGAATGATGATCAGGAGCACTCTGACATATTAAAGACCACAAAAGTGTTTAAAAATGTGTTTTTAATCCCACTTCAGTTAATCCTGGATGAAAGGGTGAATTTAAAGCTGCTTTGATGTTGAGAGGTGTTCTTTAGTTCCTTAGCTGCAGCGGAGGCAGCATGGCGGTAACAAGTTTTTAAATCTTTGATTCAACCTTTCACCTCCTAATGTTTGGAAAACCAAAGATCATGTTTAGGAACGTTCAGTGTTTTTATCGTCATGGGTGGAACTTTAAAAAGATGATCCTGCTTTTAATATTAGTTGTTCAGGAGCAAATGGAGGAGCCCCCACTCCTCCAAACAATACTCACCAGCTCTGCAGGAAGATATTTAATCCACCAACAGGTGCAGAGGTGGAGCCACAGGGTGGCCAACGGTGGCCTTGGCCCCCACAGATTAATTAAAAAAAAAGTTCAAGACAAAAAGATTAATCCACAGATTAATCTTTGCTCACACCAATTATTTAAGCAAACTATACTTTTAAGCAACATAAAAACCAAGGTAACGGACGGAGGGTATTTCCAATTCCCCATTTTCACTGCGCGATGAGGGACAAAAACACAATCTGTTAAAAATGAGCAAAGTACCGTAAGTTCTGGATTATAAACTGCTACTTTTTTTTTTTACACGCTTTGAGCACCGCGGCTTAAACAACGCTGCGGCTAATTTATGTTTTTTATTTTTTGATGTGTTAACAAACATCTTGCCACCAAAGCATTTAGCCTCGTCACACCCGGGTGCTCACAGAGCTGCCCAATACACGTCTTTCTTGGAGGGGGGTCCTCGTGGCTCAATGAGACTACCTGTATAAATAAAGGTTAAAAATAAATCTGACCAATGAAATTACTGAACAGATCACAGTGGACCAATGAAACTTGGTGGTGTAGTCTATATTTTTTAGTGGGTATACTGCGCTTCGAAACCAAACTACACTGGTTAGTACAATGTAATCGTCAATTTATTTAGATTTTTAAGCATATTGAACATTTCCAAATTTCTCTAATGCTTATATTTGAATAAATGAGCAACAAACTTTGTACAACAGTTGCCTTTGTATTAAAAACATGTTATAGAATTTATAAAACAGTATCAAAGCAAACCATGTTCAAGTATTAAGTACAGAAGTATTAATTATACGATAATTCCCTGGATAAGCGAATGTAATAAACAAGCGCTACATACCAGTACATTGTTATGGAAGCATTTAACTGCCTTTTAACATATCAATGACACGGGTCTAATGATATGTCATGTATCAATGGGCACGTTTAAGTGGATATACTGAAATTCTTAAGCCTTTCTAGTAGGTATACTCCGTATGCCCACATATCACGTAGACTACACCACTGGTTTCTACCAAAACCCTGAACAATACCAATGAAACTTGGTTTTGTTGGTCCACTGGAGGAGAGGAAAATTCAGTTACCTCCCTCCCCGTGGTGCCCCCAGGGAGTGGGGCGCAGTGCGCAGGAGGAAGATGAAGATAGCAATCAATGACTTCCTGGTAGGCTACTGTATTTATTTATTTTTTAACCAGCCGTGTTACAGACACTGTTCAGAAAAATATATATATATAAATACTGTACCTATTTGTGTATCTTACCGGTACGTATTTAATTAAAAGTAAAAAATATATATATTTCTGTGTAAATATTTCATATTGCAACATGGACACATGGGGCTTATAGACAAGTGCGGCGTACATAAGTACAATTTTTTATTTCTCTTTAAATTTAATGGGCATGGCTTATATCAGGTGCGCTCAGTAGTCTGGAAATTACGGTAACCGCTAGAGTTAAAACACACATTCAAAATGATAAAACTGATATAAAGCGTTAATAAAAACATATTAGAATTAACTCAATGAGCTCAAATGACGTAATACTCACCGACGAGATGTAATGTCACACTGTGGCTGGTTCTGATCTTTATAACAGTTAATGGCAAACTGTTGGACTCCTTTGATGATTTTGTGGTTTTCAGTTATATTTTTGGTCTGCTCCAGTTCAGGCTGTACGTTAAGACGCAACACAAAGGTTTTTCCAATAACTGAGACACCATTCTAGTGTTTGTCGTGTACCTAGCCACTGTAAAGCAGAAGTTTTAGTCCCAGTGTTCAGATCATGATAACAGGTGTCGGAGGCAGCGCTCAGTAGTGATTTGGTTTTAAAATGAGCTGAAGTTTGTTATAAAGTGCATCTTCTGTGTAAAGTGACAGCCTGACTCATTTTCTTTTGTTCCAGCAGGTCACAAAGCAGCGTTCTCACGGGAAAAACTAAAAGTAGAAAACACTTAGAGCCACTTCTAACATTGTTGTATCTCGGTAAGAGCAGCTCAGATTGAACCGTCTGGACTACTCTGAAATAATCATCCTCCCTCCACTAAAGTGTTTCTGCTCCAACCTTCAACCCTTCTCTGAATCCTCCTCTTCATCCTTTCATTTATTCCACACTTCGTCGTTTATCTTTCTTTCATGCTCAGGTTTTTTGTTCTTTCCGTTCTTTCACTTTCCTTCGTCTCTGTAACAAAATGAGCACTTGTTCGGCGTGCTGCCACCGAAGGATTTCATTATGATGCTGACGCACGTACATGCACACACGAGCAAGGTTCATCAGTTTGGCTTGTTAATAGCTCGGAGCTTCATGCTTTTCGACTTGATTGTCTTTTTAATGGTCATGAAACACACGGGTCTGGTTCTGTAGGTCGTTTCTGACCACACGTGGAGATTGTATCGTTGTGAGGACCCTCCATGACGTTTACTTTCTATAACCTCCCTCTAAAAACATACAATCAGACCCAAGCTAAAGGTTGTTTCATATTGTTGCTGTCAGCCAAAAACCTTGGGTCTCATTTGTGCTTTTTAAATATTTGCTCTATTTGCCACCCTTCACATCTGTCTGTGGCCGTACGGATGAGTAACTAATGAACGTGTTCAAAAGAGTGTGTGAACTTGTGACCACACTGTTTATTTCATGGAAAAGAACTTTGTTGTTTTTTTTTACATTTCCTGAAAAGTTGCATTTTTGACAGTTTCAATCTGACAGCGATGCAGGCAGAATATGTCTGAAGTTGTTTAAATATGTTCAGTCTATTAAAAAAAATTGCCAAATGCCTACATTAAACTTGTGAAGGAATCTAATTTAGGATGTCAGCTTGCTAAGTTCAGGGGTGGAGTTAGTGTAGCATCTATTTGGTCCAAAATGAAAGGAAATAGAAGCTAGCGCTGCTCGCAGAACTTTTAAACCAGACCAAGAACAAGAATCAGCCAGGAGGAACAGATGCTCTTTGCAGGTCTTGATGAGATCTTCTTGTATTAAGAGATCAGTAGGCTTCCCATCACATGTGATATCGTTATAGGTTTACAACGGTTAATCTTTTGCAGGGTTCTGGTAGATTTTATACGTTTGTCCAAGGCGGGTCGTATTATGCTACAGGTTCTGTCCGTACGACCACAAATTTCCTCTTTTTCCGCCCATCACTTCTGACCTGCTCACGAGAATTTAAGGAAACTTCATACACGTTTGCATCATCACTAAATGGGAGACATGCACTTTTCATCGACCCAGCTCCAAACTCAAGGTCACAAATAAAGGTTAAACATTATACAGGACCTTTGCTTGTCCAGACCAGTGATATAGATTGCTGTAATGATGTGTAATAATTTGTTGATGAACGTATAATGTGCTGTGTGCAGTTCTCTTGTTCATCATGTTAGCAGCCTGTCAGGTTTATAGGTGAAGCCTGCTGGATCTTATCCATGACGTGGGGTCCATGCATACCAGCATGGCTCAGCTGTTGATCATTTGACCCTAAACTCTAGACCAGTGCCCAGTACCTGGATCACGATCATTATGGGTAGATCACATGGCATTAAAAAGCAGACGTCAGTCTATCATCTGTCTATGACATTTGTCTCTTGATTGACAGACGGGGCAGCCAGTCTGAGACCCCATTGACACAACATGAAACGTTCATTTCCAGACAACAGCCTCGTTCTCTCTGAAACTGAAAGTTTCTGAATCCAGGTCTCAGAGTGTTTTTGTGCTGTTCACCCTTTCTCAGCATGTAGAAGCAAAACTAATAAAAATCCAGGGTCCAAAGAGACGTTAGTGGCTTCACCAGTTTGGACTAACTGTCACGCAGAATGAATGCAGCTGTCAGGGTTGCCAGATAAATTTAAAAAGTCTTTTTTACCCCCTCCTTTTCTGTGCACATGTTCAACAAACACAACACACACCTCGTCTTAGAAAACCTTTACTCAGCACATGTGACAGTTTACGTCAAAATACTATAATTTTAAAGTGACAGTACTATAGTTCATCATTTCTTGTCTGGCAACCCAATTGACATGGAAACTACAGCGTTTTTCATGTAAACCCGCTCATTTTTCGTTTATTACCCCCAAAACACATGAAACAAACGCAAATGTTTCCAGATGTTGTTTTTGTGTAAGCGGGGCCGGTAGCAGGTAGATCACTTTGACTTGGTCATTTTAAAAGGAGCTCCATGATGAAAAAGTCTGGACACCCCCGACCTAAGCTATGATCATATTACACCCGTACGGAGCACACCAGTAAATGTCAAGCTCATCTGTCTTTTATTCGGGGGGGGGGGGGGGGGGTATTACTGCGCAGCAGCTGTTGAAGACTAGTTGGTAAATCAGAGTTGATTCAAATTAAAATAAATAATCACATTTTCAGCTGCAGTCTCACTGAACTGTGTCGAACCAAGAGACGAGCGAGCCATGCAGCCACATTAGACATGGCCAGTTTTTGAGAACGAGGTTTTATTTTTGTGTGCACAGCTGGCAATGTTGTATTCTAGGCCGTGCACATTATTTCAGCGGCCACTCATTGTAGCCACCTTGGCAGCCGCTCCACATTTATGGTTTAGTCTAAACTGAGCTAACAGAAGATTAGCAACAGGGTTTTATTTGTTTGTTTATTCTGGGTGTGCAGAAGGAAAAACTGTTTGTATCCTCATACGTACCCCCCCCCCCCCAACACACACACACCATGTTCTAACAATAACGTGTGAATCAGCTCAACCATGAGTCATTCTTCTGCAAACAGCTCAGTGCAGAAACATTTTCCACTAAATGTTTTCAGACTAAAACGTGTCCATGTTAGCAGAAAGGGACACGCAGCCACGAGAGGTGACAGTTCCACGTTATTAACATTGATTGAAACTCTTGTCTGCACAAAGTCACCCAGCCTAAATGTGTTTGTGTGCATCAAAGTAAACGACTGCCCACTGCGGTCACTTCATTCCTCTGTCGGTGTTTGCGCCCGTCCAGTTTGTGGCTCCATCCATCCAGAAAATAAAGCCTTATTGAGGATGAAATGGGATTTTTAATTGGCCGAGCTTCAGCCGAACGGCACCGCGTGAAACTTCACGGACTCTTGTACAATGTCACCGACACACGCGCACAGTGGCGTGCACGCTCATCCTTGCACATGCATAAACATTTACTGAAACGATAACGCTTAGCCCAGGCTTGGACTGCATGTCAGGGAGTATTGATTAGACCATTTACAGCGAACTGAAGCCCCCATCAGGGAGACCTCCCTAACAGGCTATTACACACACACATTTAAAACTACCTGCAGTTAACACACACGTTGGCTGTCCCTAACACCCCCACCACCACCACCTCTCTCTGCCCATCCTTTAGGAGCGAACAGAAAGCCCTTCCTCTCAGACGTACCTTACATGCACATGCAGAGTGTGATGTGCCTGTTAAAAGGTTGTCTCCGTGTCTGACAGCGCCTCTAAGAGCCCCACATCGATTTTCTCCTCCGCTGACTAACTCTGAGAGCAAGAAGCCGAGCTGCCGTGAGAAAGGAAGAGATCAGATGTCAATATATCCAGCAAGGCACTAATGCCACCAAACCCGATGGTTCAATTCCCACCAATTATTAGATGATTCTTTTATTCCTTCATGTTTGTGCAGTTTTGAATAGAATGTGTGATTTTGGAAGGATGCTGAAAGTTGTGAATTTACCTGTGAGTGTGAAACCTGAACATGTTCCCAGTTTCAGCTGACAGAGCGGAAGATTTCTGTTCTGCAGAATGAAAGTCTGATGTTTCCACGGTTTAATGCAGAAAGTCAAACTGTGTGAAACATAAACAACTGTTGAAACTTAATGTAACAAGAGAAATTGTGCATCAGTGACAAATTGGTCAACATGTCCTCCCAGTCGGACATGCCCGAAGCATCTCCCTAAGGAGGTGCCCAGGGGGCATCCTTACCCGATGCCTGAACCACCTCAACTGGCTCCTCTCGATGTGGAGTCTCTCCTGATAACTGAACTTCTCACCCTGTCTCTAAGGGAGAGTCCAGCTACCCTGCAGTGGAAACTCGTTTCGACCTCCTGTATCTACGATCTCATTCTTTCAGTCTCTACCCAGAGTTCATGACCAAAGGTGAGGGGAGGAACGTAGACTGACCAGTAAACTGAACTTTGCCTGACAGCTCAGCTCCCTCTTCACCACAACAGACCAACACAGAGTCCACAATACTGCAGATGCTGCACCAATCCATCTGTTGATCTTACGCTCCATTCTTCCCTCACTCATGAACAAAACCCTGAGATACTTGAACTCATCCACTCGAGGCAGAACCTGAAAAGAACAATCCACCCTTTTCTGACTGAGGACCATGGACTCAGATTTGGAGGTGCTGGTTCTTATCTCAGCCGCTTCACATTCGGCTGTGAACCGCTCCAGTGAGAGCTGAAGATCACGGCACGATGACGCCAACAGGACCACATCATCTGCAAAGAGCAGAGATGAATCCTGAGGCCACCGAACCGGACTCCCTCTGCTCCCTGGCTGCACCGAGAAATTCTGTTCATAAAAGTTATGAAGAGAATCAGTGACAACTTGCAGCCCTGGTGGAGTCCAACTCCCACCCTGAAGGGGTCTGACTTACTTCTGGCAATATGAATGAAACACTCACACCTCTTGTATAGGGACTGAACAGCCCGTAACAATGCGCCCCCAGTCCCATACTCACGGAGCAACACCCCCCACAGTGCACCCCGAGGAACACGGTCGAAAGCTTCTTCATGTCCAGAAAACTCATGTAGACTGGATGGACAAACTCCCATGACCCCTCGATGACCCTAGTGAGGGTATTTCACTTTTGTGAATTACAGTTATCTAAAATATTTAGAACAAATATTCATTATTCAGTTTTGATTTTCAACCCCAATCATGGAAACTTTGACATTTTTTGTTGTTTAAGATTTAAATTATTTGCTGATGTTGAGATGCTGATGATACTGTGTAATATTTCTCTGTTTCAGGTTTTCTGAAGTTTATGTTTTTGTGCACATAAAGATGTTCAGCTGATGTTAAAGTTCATGTGATGTTTTATAACAAACAGCTTTTGCTTCTGTTTGTGTGTCAGGTCTGATCCGGTCCAGGGTCCAGGGGGCCGACGCTGCGAGGGCTAAAGTCCTGACCTTCCTGGACAGCCATTGTGAGGTCAACAAGGACTGGCTGCCTCCCCTTCTTCAGAGGATCAAACAGGTAGACCTCAACGTCACCTGAACTACAGGTCTATGTCTACTACTGTCTATTGTCCATCCATCCACCCATCTGTCTATCCATCCATTCATCCATCTACCCAAACAGCCAACCATCCATCCAACCAACCATCCATCCATCCATCCATCCATCTGTCCATCAATCCATCCGTCGTCCTCCAATTTGAGAGTTACGGGTTCGATTCCACCAGCAGTCACATGCCGAAGTGTCTCTGGGCAAGACACTGAACCCCTCGTTGCCTCTGATGTGTGTCCCATCGGTGTTTGAATGTGATAAAGCTCTGATTAATCTCTTTAGAATTCACTTACTTTGTAGAGATCTAGTATAGAGCTGTATGAATGGGTAAATCAGGGCACAGATTGTTGTGTAAAGCGCTTTGAGTATCTCAGTAAGATAGAAAGGCACTGTATACTGTAAGTACAGTCCATTTACCATCCATATATCCATTTATCAATCCAGTCATTCATCCATCCATTCATTCCTCCATCCATCCATTCATCCATTCACTCCTCCATCCATCCATTCATCCATCCATTCATCCATTCATTCATCCATTCATATGGCCAGCCATGCATCCATTCATTTATTCATTTGTCCATCCAACCATCCATCCACCCATCCATATGGCCAGCCAGCCAGCCATCATCCATTCATTCATTCATCCATCCATTCATTCATTCCTTCATCCATCCATCTGATCATCTATGCATCCATTCATTTATCCATCTGTCCATCCATCCACCCATCCATTTGCTCAGCCAGCCAGTCATCATCCATCCATCCAGCCAGTCATCCATCCATCCATCCATCCATCCATCCATCTTTAATCTGATGTTTTCTACTTTTACCTTGTAGCTAAACTTCATTATTTTCTTATAATTTAACCCATTCAAATCCCCACTCAGCATTCACACTGTTTTCTTAGAAAAAGACCTGTAGTTAAATTTCAAATTTTTAAATTTTAAATTTTAAATTTCAAACCCAAAAATGACATCGTTCATGAATATCCTTGGTTATTCATGAGTAACTTCCATGAAGTCGTTCTGAAAATATGAATGTGCTCAGTGAAAACCAAAAACTCATCTCTGTTTGTGTGTCTGGGATTGCTTCATCGTTCTGATTGTCTCTCATTAAGAAATAAGTGGCGCTCGGTCTCCTTTACCCCACTCAGAAGTCCAATCTCCTCTGGTTGTCCAATCTCCTCTAGTTGTCCAATCTCC